CTCATCCTTTTTCTGTTACTGTTCCTAAGTGCTCCAAAAACTCTTATTTGTCTAGTTTTTTTCCTCGAACATCAGTTCTATGAAATTCGATTCCTTCATCTTCTTTTCCTGATTCATATAATTTGCAATCTTTTAAGTTGTCTTTCAATCGTTATCTTGCTCTACAATCTTCATCTTTTCTCTTCCAGTAACTTTTAACACTAATTAGTGGTTGCTTGCAGCCTTGTTTGAAGCAAAGATGTTTTAAAAAAAAAAAAAAGCACAAATTGAAAAAGTAGTTACTAGCAAACCAGTTACATGATCATCAATGGTAAAGAACAAGAAATTACACCTAGTAAATGCAACAATAAATGAATAAAAAGACAGATAAAAGAAAAACAATAATCATATCGGGTATCACAGCAACAGTTACTGGGACCGATAAAAAAAGACAAACAGAAACTGAGAAACGAGGTAGTCAAATATCAAATTATATAAGAGCAGACACCAACCCATGTAAAAAGACAAAAAAAGTCAAAAGAAGCTCAATCAAAGGCATACCCTGGACCCAAACGTAAGGCATAACCCTAAAGGCTGTACCACCAAAAGCACAACAGGAAAAAAAAAAGTTAGTTATACTAAGTGACTAGTCAGAAAGAAACTCAATATTAGCCAAGGCAAAGAAACTCAGGCATTAAACAAACCCATAGTACAAATTACTAATGCGGTAGTGGTGTAGTGGTAGAGCGCTCGCTTCATAAACGAGTGGTTCTGAGTTCGATCCCCACCATGTCCCTGGTAGTACCGCGCTCAACTCGTTTCTCCACGCAGCGGCCTTGTTCGACAAGGTTCGTGTTTCGGAGTTATAGAGTTGAGAGAGGGTTATAGCCACAAATAAGTAGCCTCCTTGTCTGTAGTGGCCTTCTCAGCCTTGAGGAGGTGAATTAAAATAAAAAAATAAAAAAGAAGTTTATGTTTTAACAGATATTACACAAGCAAAGTAATACAAATGTATGGAGCTCAGAAAATTAAGAGACACCAAAAATGCAACAAGAAAACCAGATGATCTCTTTCCATATGCGATATGTGGAACTGGACTTGCCAAGTTTAAACGTAATGTTGAGAATAGTAAAAGAACTAAGCAGTATAGCAAATATTTACCATGTTTATATACAAATGCAACATCGTTTGGCAACAAAGTGGAAGAATTTAAAATCAAAAAAAGCCATTATAGTTGGAATCAGTGAAACATAGTTACAAAACTCATCCATTTAACAGTTAGGTTACACAATATACAATAAAAATAGATCTGACGGGTGATAAGGTGGTGGAGTTGCCTTATACATAGAGAACAACCTCACATCATATGAAATAAATATTGGTAGTCAGGACAGCAAGATAGAATAAACATGGGCTTGTAACAAATATGGGCAGGTTTTTGTAAAAAAATTTTAACTGAAATTTTTTTACTTATTTGAGTCATCCGCTATGATAATCAGTAGTCCCGGTATAATAATTTTGTTTGGTATTTTTTTTCTCATGTGAAAATCTATTAAGAAATGGTTTAATTAAAAGTGAGCTGTTAAAAATATTGTTAAGTAATTTTAGTTAGAAAGAGATAATTATATATACAACTTTTTATTTTAGTCATTTTTTACATAGTTGGTATCTGTTTCATACAGTTTCTTTTTATCAATCTTAACAAAGTTTTCATTATGTGGAGCAAAAAAGTCGAAAGCCATAACTGCAAGAAACAATTGATAAAAAAAAAAAAAATTCTTTTATTTTTTCTCAATTTTCAATCAAATCTAATTTACTTGAATGTTTAAAAATATTTTTTTAATTTTATAAACATTTTTCTAGAGTTGTCACAAATATTTGGTGACTTTGGTGAATTAGGCTATATTGGCTTATTTGGCTACTTTGTTTACTATTTGGTATTTGGCCGAATATTGCAAACTATTCGAATTGTAAAGAAAGAAAAAACACGTAAAAATGGATTACATAATATGTAATTTAATTATAACTAAAAAAATTTATTTTTTGGTGGAGATATATCATCAATCACTGGTGATGTTTCATTGGTGTCTTTCACTGAGAAAGATTAACTCTTCACTAAATTAATCTTTCTCAGAGCTTTTAAACTTTTTTGGTGTTTTGCTTGTTGTGTTTTAACAAATCCCTTGAAATTAGTTTTTAAAAACGTACATCAATCAAAAAGGCTACCATATAATTGACATTTCTATTGAAGTTAAACCATAAGTTAAAGCCCAAGTTCTTATTGTAGTCGCCCTGGGCAAGATATCATTTTTGATAAGTTTAGAGCTCTTTGTGCTATATCTATTAATAGCAACTTTTCAAATTAGTTCAGAAGTGCTAGATATACCTGAGCTGTTTGTTTTTGTAATCTTTTCAAACAGTTTGAAGAGTTTGATATTTTTATGAACAACTATTTTTAAAACAGTCTGGTATTAAAATTTTTAGTTTTGGAATTAAAAGAAATTATAATTTTAAAACTCATTTTAAATTGAGAAGATAGGTGCTTCAAAATGCAACAACAACAATGTTTAAAAAAACATTACAGTCGCACTTATTATATTAAACACGCATCGGCTTCTTTTTATTAAGTTTAGTAAAATTACATAATGCAGGCTTTCACAGGAAGAGGTGCGATTTCACGTTGTTATATTTTGCTATGACGGTTTGAGCGCAGCTAATTCAAAAAACACTTTAAAAATGCGCTAAATAAAAAATATTCTAAATAAGTGCAATTAATTACATCAAAACTTTTTAACAAATGTTTTTATATTAGCGAAATGATTTTAAATAAAGTAACAATTTACTGAAAAAAAGTTTTTTTTTTTAAATATAATTGACAGTTGTATATATTTTTTTAGTTTAAAACATATAAATTGTTTAAGTGTTCATTTCTAAAATAAATCTTATTAAAAATTAAAAAATTGTTTTGTTTTTATAAACAATGACATTCTACAACTACGAAAGCCTCTTTAACGAATCTAAATATAAGAATGATAAAAGTTAATGCATTTAAAAAGATAAACAAAATTTCGTTAAAATAAAAAGTTTAAGAAAACCGTTACAATTTAATAAGTTTGATCTTAAATGCTTTTATATTATCGAAACGCTTTTAAGGAAGTAAAAAAAAACACTTCTAATTAATTTAAAAAAAAATATTAATAAAATATTTTTTTATTTTATTTATATAACTATGTATTTTTTATGAGAAATATTTAACTTTTGAACATATTAAATAAATAAAAAATATATAAAAATGTTGAAACAAAGATTGAAAATGTTTTTTAATGTGTAAATTAAATAGACTAAGCATTTTAGTTTGATGAGTTTTCTTTTAGTTGCGTTATATATATATATTTATTTTTTTGTGTTTTTGCTTTAACTAAGTATTTTTTTTATTTTCTCTTTCGTTAATATTTATTATTTTTTCAAATTTTTTTCCAGATAAGTTTAGGTAAGTTTTTGTAGCGCGTTTTTAAATTTTAAAAATATGCCATGGTCAAATCGTTAAAACACGTCTTCCTGTGAAAGCCTGTAATGCACTGTAGTATACTCATTAACTCACTGTTAAACGAAGTGTGTACTACTTTAAATGTTTTTTAAAGGTTTCTTTTAAATAATTGCATGGAATAAAATCTTCATAGTTTAAATAAGTTTTTATTAATAAAAACACTTTTGTAATTAACAAACTGTCTGGTCGTACTGCTGGGCTACTGACAGAAAAGTAAACCTTTACCTCTACAGTGGCACACAGCAAATGTGACTCCAATTTTCAAAAAAGGATGTAAGCTAAGCACATCGAACTACAAACCTGTATCAATCGCATCAATAACATGTAAAGAATCTGAAGGGGTTATAAAAAATGAAATGCAAAAAATTTTGACAACCATAATATAATCACAAAATGCCAACATGGTTTCATAAAACTGAAATCAAGTACAACAAATCTTTTTGCCTTCAACATTAACTGAAATAATGATATTGAGTTATCATAAACTCTTTCCAACAGCGATAATTCGTTTTAGATTTCACAAGGACCAAAAAATAAAATATTCTGCAAATGGACTGTATTTTCTAAAATTGAAACAGCTTTACAAAGGATCACAATTGTTGTTGTTCAATCGTTTTTCACAGACCAAATATCAAATGGTGAAAGTTACAATGGCAAATGGTTACACTTAGTGGTAACGCCAGCAAAAAGAAAACTTATTCTGCTTTGTATGTAAATCTTTGAAAGTTTTGTTTTTTTGTGCCGCTACAACTTGATTAAAAGACTGGAAAAATGCAAAGAAGAAAAAATAGAACAACAATATTGAAGAATAACTTTAAATCATGTGATTGCTGTTATTTTTACTTTATTTTAAAAAAATTTAGCATTCAGAGGTTATACATACAAACATATACATACATACATACATACATACATACATACATACATACATACATACATACATACATACATACATACATACATACATACATACATACATACACACATACATACATACATACATACATACATACATACATACATACATACATACATACATACATACATACATACATACATACATACATACATACGTACATACATACATACATACATACATACATACATACATACATACATACATACATACATACATACATACATACATACATAGTCCACAAAAATATTTCCACCTAAGTCTAATATCTGTATTTACAGACATTTTTTGTGACTTGCAAGTCAAAGCTAAAAAACTGTGTGCCAGAAAAAAAATATGTTGCAAAATAATTCAAAGTTTGCAATTAAATTAAAAAGTAAAATTCTATTTATATAAGTTTTTTATTCTTCAAATATTTATAGTATTATTATTTTATTCATTTATTATTATTATTTTATTCATTTATTATTATTATATTTTTTTATAATTCAATAACATAAATATTGAATAACAGTCTAAACATACTATTAGTAAATCAGAAATTTATTTGTTTTGTAGATACTTTTAGGGAATTTGGGCGACAAGTATAGCGCAAGACTCATTTTGTCTAGTTGCTTGGCAATATCATCTTTTTCTATGGTAAGAGTTGTTTGAGCTTTTTATTTTATTTTTAAATTTTGAAATATTTAATGATTGCACTTTTTAAAACATGATGTATAAACACACTTTGTACAAAAAGTTTAAATGCATTTGATTTTTTAACGTTTTTAACGATTAACGATTAAAATACTTTTAACAATTGGTTAACGATTTTAATACTTTTAAAAAATGATATACTGATAAATTGATGAGATGTATTTTTATGTTTATTTATACTATGGTTATAATTTATTAATTCAGAGAAAAAAAATTATAAGGATATTATAAAGGAGGTGGAGGGTGATGAGAAAATTAACAGAGAAATTAATTTCTTTCAATTTTTTGAAATAAAGTTTAAATGCACTTTAATAAGAAAACTCATAACATTTGTTTATTGCATATTTGTTTATTGCTTTAAGTGCAGTAATAATAGCTGCTAACAAAACAGTCAAACGACAATAAGTAAGTTGTTACGCAAGAAAGAATTAAATTCGTTTCATTGTGTAAGAAAGTCTTTGTTGATGTTAACTGATTACCATAGACAAAAATATAGTGCAAAGAGTGTTTAAATTATTCAGTGGAACAATGGAATATATATTAGGCTTAGGTGTTGGCTGTCATAAAATATTCAAAAAAAAATTAAACCAGTATGAGTATTGTGATATTTTGGAAAATGCGCTTATCCCTACTTGCGATTTGTTCTGGGCTTATCAAAACTTGTTATTTCAACAAGACAATGTTCCATGCCATATAGCACGTTCGATCACTGATTATTTCCTTGAAATTAATATTTGACTTATGATAAATGTGACCAAACTGTAACAAACTTAACCAAACTGTGACTTGAAATACTAATGAAGATGATTGAAAACTTAATTGAATTAAAAAAATTAAACTTAAAAAAATCTAGTCATGAAATGCTCAAACAAGAACTGAATAAACTGTGGCTTGAAATACCAATCAAGATGATTAAAAACTTAATCGAATCAATGCCAAGGCGAATACAAGCATGTATTAAAAACAACGGGAGGTCATATCCTGTATTAATATATATTTCGATTTTAAAAGATTGTAGGTGTGTTAAAATTTTATTGCACTTTTTTTTTTTTATTGTAATTTGTGATTACTTTTTTTTACTCAAAGTTGTATTTTTTTCTTAACTAATAATTAGCTAAGGAAAAAAAAAAGTTTTTTTTTCGTTTTCCTGTTCTTTATCATCTTTAATATAAAATTTTTCTGTTCTTCGTCATCATTTTTTTAATCTGTTTTCAGAAGGTGTTAATTATAAATTGCTTATTTTAACAAAAATATATAAGAAAAAAAAAATTTAACAAAAAGATAAAGATAAAAATTTTTCAATTATTTTAAAATAAATTAATTTTTAAATTAAAACAATTTTTAAAATTGTATTTTATTAAGCACAGTACCCATTATGTCATAATTCCATACAAACTAGCATTTCAGACCTCGTTGGGCCCTTGTTTGCCTCGTGTTTTCTCGTTGTAGCAAACTTAAAACCTTACTCTTAAAAAAACAAGTTTTTACAACTTTTTACAAGTTTAAACTTTCAGCGCTTGCAAGGTGTATATAATATCAGCGCTCGCAATAGTTTTTAAAGCTTGCCAATCAAATGTAATTTTTTCACAAAAACAGCTTATTTTCCCTTGAATTTTTCGAAATTTCCCTAAAAATAGCCAATCATTGATCGGCCGTTATTTTGAGCGGTGTAATATAATAAAAAATAAAAACAAACATAACAAAGTATATAAATATGATGGTATGATGTTGTGTAACATTAATTGTGTTTTAAATAAACTTTTTAAATATTTAGAAATATTTTTATGTATAAATAAATTATAGAATTATCTTACAAATATATATAGGTCACTTTTGGCTATTGGAATAAAATGCTTGTGATGGGTGTACTTCTTTTTTTAAATGGCAGTGCTCAGGTATATTTTAGGTAAACTTTTGTTGAACAGAGTTTTATGTTTATTTTTATTTTAATTTTTTGCTTTTTTAAGTTTGTTATTTTGTGTATTTGAGTGAAAAATGTTGTCTTTGTTAATACATGCAGATACACACACAAACAAGTAAAAACAAATTAATAAAAATTAAAAGTTACAATATTTCATATAAAATCTATAAGTAACAATTTCAGGCATGCTTATGGCCAAACTGTGTTAAAGGATTGTCCAATTGGTACAATGATGAACAGAGAGCTACTTTATTTGGAGTGTGGGGTACATGTTGCTTTGCTGGTGGAATATTTGGCACTGTATTAGCTGTAAATATTTAGTTTTTTTCTTTACTTTCAAATAAATTTTATAACAAGTTTAAAAGAGATTTACAAAATATATAATCTTTGTTTCCTACTTTGTAGAAGATGTTACATGTTTTTGTATATTAGCTGAATCAATTCAACAATCAATAATTTACTTTAAGAAACTAGGGTGTGACTCTAGGGCAATTTACTTTAAGAAATTATGGCACTACACTAGGGCAATTTGTTTTAAGATAATATTTACTATATATATCAATAATAATATATTTATATATCAATAATCAGGAAGATCCCAGAATCCTCTTTATTATTTAAATGATTATATTTGAACTATTTGAACTTGTTTAACTATATTATTTTTATTTAGTATGGTAGAATGCGCTGATTTTTATAATCATTATTATCCTTGTTGAGTTTAATTATATGTAAACTAAAGCTAACCTGTTTGTATATTTTAGTTTACATATTGTTATATGAAGAATAAAGCCTTCTATGTTGGCTTAAAATTAATTATAGACTATTAAATTCTTTACACTACAATAGACAAGTTTCAATTATTACTATGCAGATTCCATAAAATCTTGATTTGCATTTTAATATATCAATATTAAGAACTATAACTATGTAGAAAACAATTTAGCAATTATCAATTTGATGTCTGCTCAGTAATTTTGTCAGTATCTAATTGTAATTTGGTTGTACTGAATAGCATATGGCATTTTTTTGATTTTATCCATGTCAGTTTTGTGTAATTTTAGTGAAATTGTGGAAGAGTAAACCAGTTGTATTTGATTTGAGATCAATATACAACCTTATTGACCAAATTTTAATTTGTTTTGTGGAACTGTGCTGATTTGGCCCAGGATTTATTTATTAATTTGCCCTAAGAAGTCTCTACTCAGTAGGTCTTATCACTCAGCACTGCAGAAGAGAATTTGACAGGAAGTTTTTTACCAATTTACTCAGCAGGTCTTATCACTCAGCACTGCAGAAGAGAATTTGACAGGAAGTTCTTTACCAATGTTGTAAAACTTGCCTAGAGGTAGCATTAAACCACGAATCTCTAGCTTCTGAGGCAACGGCACTAACCACTGCGCTACAGCTGCTCATTTTCTGTACTAATCTGCTGTATTAGACTTGGATAGTTTGCTTAACCCAAACCAGCTTCAGTTTTGCAATCAGATCAGCTATAGATGTTGGATATATGTCACTAGGATGAGACTTAATTGAATGACGAATAACACAAGAAAGAATTTTCGTAGATGGCAAAAGAGATACTAACACTTTAGAGCAGTGCCCATCATAGTATTTGTAGAAAAGAGAAAGAGAAGTAGCATTACGACGATGTGACAATGGTTGGAGGTTGGCTGCAAGAGCAGTTCCAACTATGTTTACAATGCATTTTTGCACCTTGTCTAAAAGAGAAAGGGCATCATTAGAAGATCTGCCCCAGATATAGCAACAGTATTCCATACAAGGGCGGATTTGAGATTTATAGAGATAAAGAATAGAATTAGGAGTAAGAAAGTGTTGAGCTCGATAAAGAGATGCAACCTTAGCAGATGGTAATTTTGCAATGGATTTGATAAATGGTTTCCAGGAAAGATCGGAAGAAAGAGTTAATCCTAGAAGGTGAAGGGTAGATGACTCATTGAGTACATTACCGTTCATAAATATAGAAGATCTAAATTATTGGGATAACGATTAACTGAAAAAAATTAAGTTTTATCTGAACTAAACCCATGTTGTAGCACTTTTGCTACTTCATGGGGTTCACGAGCCACTGTGAGCCCCATGTTGTAGCAAAAGTGAGATCCTTTTCTAGCTCAGATGCCCCCACCAAGCAATCAGAGAGTTTTGGCTTCTTATCATGACAAGAATAAATGGTAGTGTCATCAGCGAACAATGCTACCTTAGATGTGAGAATATCTGGAATGTGGAGAAACTGACCACTACTGAGCACTAGGATCAGAAACAAAACATAGATTGAGTAGAGAAGGTAAATGATTTGGGTTGTCTTGGAAGCGAGTTGGAAAGTTTGGGAAACCTGACTACCAGCCGACCTCAGAACCATAAAACTGAGTTTTAGAGCTGCACCCTCATTAGGAGATAATAGAATGAGTTGCCTAGTCATAAAAACAGAGACACAAACAAAACCTATGCATAGAGTCAAGAAGATCCAGCTTTCAACATTCCAAACTGGAAATAATGTATTAAAAATACCTCTGTGCCAACCTAATAGATGAAGAAGGGGTGCGAGGTTGGTCAACAGATAGAATCTGTTTACCCCTTAGTTAAACATGAAAAGTAAAGTATGAATTTATCTATTTTATTTTGTCTTTATTTTTTACGAATAAGTAAACCCAGTTACATCAAACACAATGTTGAGGATTATAAAGTATAAAACTATATTAAAAACTATGTTCAGTATAAAACCCAGTTACATTTAAAAAGCAAACATTTTAATGAAGCATGAAATCCAGTATTATATATATAAATATGATTTAATGATAAAGTATGAAACCCAGTAACATTAAAAATGTTGAATTTAAGTACTTGTGTATGTACTAATACATATAAATGGATTAGTAAACTTTAAATTATTCTGTTTTCTTTATATAAAGTTTATTAAATCAATTAAGGTTGTTAAATAAAGGTATTTTAAATACTGGTTTATAAAATCATTTGAAATTATTGATAATAATTTTTTTTCTAACATTTTTAATATAACATAAAAAGTTTTGTTTTAATGTATTATAAAAAAAATTGTTTTCAAAAATATTTGTAATGAAACAGTGAGAGTGAAAATAAGGTTACAATATGACATGAATAATGTTTAGGTACATTTGCAGAATATTTACACACCTGATTTAAGCATGGTGTTTGCCATACCCTCAGTTATTGTAGTAAGTTTCTTGTTTATATGTTTTAAATTTTTTATCTTATTTGTATTCTTCATTTTGAAACAAAAATTTTTTTGTTTTTAAAATTAAAATAAAATTTTGTTTCCAAATTTAATTTCTTAGTAAATTATTGTTTTTAGTATTTAGTAATAAGGTTTTGAATTTCATTAGAAATCAGAAACTTGATTTCTGATCAAATTAGTTGTCAGGTTTTTATCTGATTTATCTTGAGTGATTAATCTTTTACCTTCTCAATAAAATACTATTTTTATTTTGTACTGTTTTTATCAAGTAACTGAATCTTGATTTCATAGCTACAGAAAAATGGCATATGTGGTTCCAACAACTCTGAAGATTGCTCTGGCTTTTCTAACTATTGTCCAATCTCCTTTCAACTGTTAAAAAGGTCTTTAATTAATAAAATTTCTTAAACTCATTTTGAGTTTAAAAACTTACTAACATTCAATACAGATTTTAATCCTCCTGTTCTACTGATGACATGTTGTTGTGATGACAATATTGTTGTTGTGATAGCAACATTGTTGTTGTGATGGCAACATTGTTGTTAGGTACAATAGCTATTACTCTTGAAATATCTTGAAGGTTCTATTTTTAACTTTGGTACCAAAAGGTTCTATTTTTGGCCCTGTGTTGTTTTAGAGCAGGTTATTGATCTCTCTTTAAGTCACAGCTTGGGACTTGAAGTTTGCTGATAAATTTTAACCCAAACTAAATTAGTTATTTATTGGAAATAATTATTGCAAATTTTTTTGATATTGATGAATAGCAACACTCTTATTGAATCCTTTTTTTTTAGGTCTTCTAGAATTATTTCTTACTTCTGATCTCTCATGGAAATTGTATGCACAACCCTTTACCAAGTTAGCATTTGCCAAGGTTGCCCCTCTTTATTGTGTTGCCCCTCTTTTATGCCCTTCTTGCTATTTTCTTATATAGAATTATAAAACAGGTTACAAACATTACTAAATCACTACAGAAATTTATTTAAAAATCAAATTACCTGATATTTATGTTTAAAATTTATTTTTTGTTACTATTTTTGGCAAAAATTCAAATTTGAAAAAAAAATTACATGATATCAGTTTTTTTCATTTTTCACTTTTTTTTTTCACCTTTTGACATGATGCACAAGGTTGTATCTTTTTCCCTTTCCTACAAAAACTGCGATTGTTAAGTTTATCTATCATATCTTGTTCTGTCAACTAAAATCCGAACTTGCATTACTTGTCATTCATACTTTTGCATCCTTAAAACTTTTGTTTATCTAGATTTTTTCTTGCTTCAGAATTCTCTTCTGTTTTTTCTGTCTTCTATTTTAAATTTACTTATTTTATTTTACAAAAAAAAACAACAACTGTAAATTTAAGTATAAATAATGTTAGAAAAGTTAAAAATATTGTCATGGCTTTTGGTCACTTTTTTTTAATGTGTTTTTTTAATGAATATTTTGTTGTTAAATTGCAAAAAACAAAACAAAACAAAGTTATTTTTTTGTTTTGTTTAATATTTTAGTTAATTGTTGCAGTTCTTGTATATTTGTCACTCAGAACACCATGTGAAATGAATTTAGTTGTTGAAGGAAAAGGTAATTGTTTTTAAATTTAACAATTTAACAAAACTAATAAAAGTATAACATGTAAAAATGGGTGGAAAATGCTTATATAAAATGTATAGTAAAATGTATATTCTCTCTCCTAGCATACCCTAGTAGATGTATGCACACTCTGCTGCATGTTCTCCCTAGTAAGTCAGTCAATGTATGTAAATCATTATCTATTTATAAACAACCAGCACGGTTGTCTATAAATAAATAATGGTTCAGGGTTATTAGAGTAATCTGTCTATAAAATAAGAATAAGTTTTAAAAAAGTATATAAAAACGATTAAAAAAATGATAAAAAAACATAAACATCATTAAAAACTTTCTGATCATAATTTTGACATTTCTTAAAAAGCAATTAAAATTAAAATACTTCAGTAGCTATTTATTTATCTATTAATTGTTTTAACATTTAGTTTACAACTAAAAGTTGCTTAAATAATGTCACTTAAATGTTAAATGTTGTAATTAATCTTCACTTACTTAAAACAGAAGGTAAAACATTTATGCAAGGCATTACAGTTAATTCTTATATTAGTATAATTAAATTGTTTTATATAATGCATATTGTATCTTAGTTATATATTCGTGAAGTTTTGTTGCAGTTATGAAACTTTTAACCAAACTTTTTATGATGTTTAAATGTTATTCTTAGCGCTACCAAAGCATTTTGGAGAACCAAAAGAAAAACTGCAGTTAAATTTATTTCAGATTTGGAACATTAAGTAATTTTTTTTTTTTTTTGTTTCTGTTGTTTTTTTTAATTGAATCTAATATTAGATATAAATCTTATATCTAATTTTATTCTATAATTTTTTCTAATTTTATCTTATTTTAAATTAAAACTAAGATTTAAAATAATAAAATTTCCACTAAATAAAAATGGTCTGTTTTTGTGGATATATTTATTGATACAGTCATTATACAGTTCACACACACCAAGATCTTTATGGCTACTGCATCCCCCTATGCCTGTTGAGTCAACACTACTTTGGCATCTTGCTTGTTAAATACTTCTCAGCTGCAAATTTTTTAATGAAGACTTTTTCTTTGTGGTTTAAGATCAGAAAATTTAACTCATTGCTTCAACTTTTTCCGAATCCTCTACTGCTCAATCACCAATGTTTTGTTGCATATTTTTGTCGATAACATCGATTCAAGAGTAGAGGGACAAGCTGATATTTTTCAAACAAGTTCTATGCTTATTTTTTGGTTTAAAGAAAAAGATTGGTTGATTATTTGAGCTGAATTTTTGTGCTGAGTTTTGAGAACATTTGAACTTTTGTAGGATTTTTTTTGCAAGTTTGCTACTTTTGTTACTGTCACTAAGCTTCGGCGTTCATCTAGAATGAGGCATGTTAATGAGACTATTTATTAGCTTCTATATTCTCACTGTTTTTTTTTCAAGCAAAATTTTTCAAACATCTATAAGTTTGTTTATTTCAATGTTGCTATGTTTTATGTTCTATGTTAACATTTGACAATTAAAAAGATTGTTTTGTTAAGTTAACACTATTTTTTAGTTAAGCATGGCAAATAGTAGTTAAAACAGTAATTAAGTAAAATATTTATGAGTTGTCATAAAAAGTATAAATTCAATTAAGCTTTTGTGTCATTTTTTAAAATTGGTGTCCAACAAATATTTTTATGGATGTTGAGTAGTGTATATAATTATTTTTTTTTTAACTATTTTATCAAAATCTTTTTATAAACATATAAATAAAAATTTAGGAACAAAAAAAAAAAAAAAGGAAATAAATTGAAAGTTTGTTTCTGTGCAATTTTTTTTAATTTTCTTGTTAAACTTTTTTTGCATAGCTGTAAATATTTTCTACATTTTATAACATTTTACATTTTTATTTATTATATATTATATTTATTTACATTTTTATTTATTATATATTGATTAAAAATTGAAAATTTCATTAACAAATCCTAATTTTGAATAAATAATATATCATTCTAACAAAATTGTTCTTTTAATATTACAATTAAATGCTAAAAACAAAACTTGTTATATACATTGTAACATAGTGTGTGTTATATAGTGAATGTTAAAGGTTATTATGGTGGCATAGTGTATGTTATATAAGATAGTGTATGTTATATAACATAGTGTATGTTATATGTTTTATGGTAAAATTGTTATAAAGTGTATTTTACGTCCATAATTAATTATAATGACATTATAATGATAATAAACATGCAATCCTTGTGTGTGAAGATATTTTGCATATCTTTGCATGTAAGGATTTGTAATTGCAATTAAAAACAAGTTTTCTTTGTTGTTATTGATTTAGAATGAAACTAACAAGTATTGTTAATTTTTATACTTTGTAATTAAAAAATTCAAGACTTTACAGGTCTGGAATTTCAAAAAAATGTATACATTTATACATTCTTTTTCAGGTCTGGAATTTCTTTGATTATTTATAAAAGATATATTTGTTATTTTCAATTTAAAATTTCTTTTAAGTAAACGATTTTCTTTTGTTATTAAAAATAGTAAAATAACAAATGTGTTATACATTTTTGAAATTATAAATACTGTTTTGTTCACCAGGAATTTTTAATGAAGTTTGAAGTTTATTTATAAATTTCTTCTAGTTTTAAAATTAAAAAAAATTTATTTGGGACATTTTTCTTAACTTTAATAAAATAATCTTTGAACTTTTAGCTGTTGAATTCTCATTTTTAAAATTTATCAAGAAAAAGAAAAAAAAAAGTATTAATTTGATGGCAACAGAGAAGCAGAAATTTGAATATTTTTTAAGGTTATATTAATAAATGATGTATTTATTTAACTTAATGTAGCACATAGAAATATAAATACTATAATAAAATTTATACATTTAAATATTTTTAGTAACAGGTTACATGGCTTGAAGTGGCAAGTAAATTTTGATCCCAACAACTACTTGATTCTAATTTAATCTTACTGCATTAGTACTTTTTATTATCTTTCTGTCCTCGCTCTTTTTTTTAAATGTATAGTAGGTGCCAAAATTATTTATACTTTTATAACTTTTATTAAAATTTGACTTATTTTTGACTTAGCCCATTTTTATGACAATCAACCCTGCAGAAATGTTAAATATATTGCATAGATCAGTGATCTATTTTTAAATTGGGGAATCCCCATTTTACAAGGTTATATTTATATCACTGCAAAATCAGCAGTTTTTTTGTGCAATATAAATATTTATACGGTAGTGTTTTGTGCAATATAAATATTTATACGGATTTAGACAATTAATCGTGGATGAACATAAAAGTGGTTTAGTTTATAATAAAATAGCTCAAAAATATAAAAAAATATAAAATGCATGGTAATGTAGAAAATTTGAAAAGGACAGGCTGCCCACGCAAGACATAATTTTGTGATAATAACAGAATTCTAAGAGAAATAACAAAGGAACCAGCTCTGTTAGCTAGTAATATTAAAGAAATCCTTGATATCAATGTTTCGGTGAGAGCTATACAAAGGTATGAGTACTTTTGTCGGCATATTTTATTACATTTTCAAATAATTTCTGCTCCTGCTCTTACTTTCATAGAAGATTTCAAATAATTTTGTATCATTTTTATAGTTTATGTTTACCTTTAACTTTTTATGAATAAATATTTACAGTTATAAAATTTACTGAGTGCTTTTATTATCAATATTTATTTTATTCCTAAAGATATGAATAATTTTGGCGCCTACTGTATGTACCTATATTTGTGTTTGTGCAACAACTTTCGCAATATGCTTTGGGTCATTATCTTGTTGATAGACCTAAATCAAAGGTAGATTTTCTTTTGCCAGTGGTAACATGACATCCTGCAGTATATTTAAATAAATTTTTTGGTCATATTTTCTTTAATCCAAAAAAAGAAGGGTCTACTTCATAATATGAAACCCCATACTTTAATATTACCACCACCACATTTAATTGTTTTTACGGTATATCTAGTATCATATTCTTTTCCTTTTGGTCTTTTGGTCTTTCAGTTCTGAAATCTGATCCAAACAAGTTAATTCTGGTCTTATCTGACCAAAGAATATTTTGCCATTTAGAAGATGGCCAACCCACTTGTTCCCTAGCAAAATCTTTCCTATTTTTTATATTTTTGTATACTTCTGGGAGCACCTAAATATCTACAAAAAAAAAAATGGTTGAAGCATCAATTTGAAGGCCAAGAGTAGTTTTTATTTCTTTTGACATTGAAAATTTTTTTGGAATAAAGAACAATATTTTTCTTGACTCTTATAGGGATTTTCCTCTTTTGACCGCATGTTTATGGTCTTTTTTAATTGCGTTGCATACCATATTATTTGAACAGTTTATTAAATTTGAAATTTTTTTCAAAGTTTTGTAAATTTTTAATTAAATTACTTTTATCATCCAAACAATATATGTTATGCCCTATTTTTCCAAAAATAAATAATTTTTTCAAATCAATAAATTTCATAGTAACTGTTAATAAAATTATTATAACTAAATAAATTAATAATTATAAAACTAAATAAATTAATAATTATAGTAAATAATTTGATTTAAAATATACATTACCTATTATTTTGCACATCTTAAACTAAAGTACTCAAATCAAATAAATAGACGCACAAACTTGTTTATACATCACCACCAAACAACATTATATACCTAAGTAGATGTGGTTAGAAATATCTGTGGGATTTTTGCGTTTATGTCAAGCACATTCATAAATATGATGTGGTAGACGCATTATGCTTATTATTACCTATCATTTTGCACACCACTGTGTGTTGTCACATTATCACCATCATCACTATTACAAATTTTTTCGCCACTTCCTAACTCTTGTTGAACTTTAACCCTGTTTATTTCCGGTGATTCTTGAATTTTTTGACAATGACATTCTGGAGCAATTGATATGATTTTAGGATGTAACCAGTCAAATGTACCTTGGCATAATTTGGAATGTTCAGTAGTACCTGAACTGGCCCATTTTTGGGTGCTTCTTATCTATAATAAGCTTATAAAAACTTTTCGATTTCCTCAGTAACACAATAAATTAACATATGACTCATAAACCTCTTCAGTTGATTCTTGAGTTCTCGGTTGATGAACTTTATACCAATAATAAACTTATAATTATATCTATAATTAACAATACTTAAACATTAAAAAAATTTTATCCAATTTTTTTACTTTACATCCAACTTTTTTTACTTTACATCCAACTTTTTTTACTTTACATCCAACTTTTTTTACTTTACATCCAACTTTTTTTACTTTACATCCAACTTTTTTTACTTTACATCCAACTTTTTTTACTTTACATCCAACTTTTTTTACTTTATATTCAACTTTTTTTACTTTATATTCAACTTTTTTTACTTTACATCCAACTTTTTTTACTTTACATTCAAATTTTTTTTACTTTATATCCAACTTTTTTTACTTTATATCCAACTTTTTTTACTTTACATCCAACTTTTTTTATTTTACATCCAACTTTTTTTACTTTATATTCAACTTTTTTTACTTTACATCCAACTTTTTTTACTTTACATTCAAATTTTTTTTACTTTACATCCAACTTTTTTTACTTTATATTCAACTTTTTTTACTTTACATCCAACTTTTTTTATTTTACATCCAACTTTTTTTACTTTACATCCAACTTTTTTTACTTTACATCCAACTTTTTTTACTTTACATCCAACTTTTTTTACTTTACATCCAACTTTTTTTACTTTACATCCAACTTTTTTTACTTTACATCCAACTTTTTTTACTTTACATCCAACTTTTTTTACTTTACATCCAACTTTTTTTACTTTACATCCAACTTTTTTTACTTTACATCCAACTTTTTTTACTTTATATTCAACTTTTTTTACTTTATATTCAACTTTTTTTACTTTACATCCAACTTTTTTTACTTTATATCCAACTTTTTTTACTTTACATTCAACTTTTTTTACTTTATATTCAACTTTTTTTACTTTACATCCAACTTTTTTTATTTTACATCCAACTTTTTTTACTTTACATCCAACTTTTTTTACTTTACATCCAACTTTTTTTACTTTACATCCAACTTTTTTTACTTTACATCCAACTTTTTTTACTTTACATCCAACTTTTTTTACTTTACATCCAACTTTTTTTACTTTACATCCAACTTTTTTTACTTTACATCCAACTTTTTTTACTTTACATCCAACTTTTTTTACTTTACATCCAACTTTTTTTACTTTATATTCAACTTTTTTTACTTTATATTCAACTTTTTTTACTTTACATCCAACTTTTTTTACTTTATATCCAACTTTTTTTACTTTACATCCAACTTTTTTTACTTTATATTCAACTTTTTATCCAACTGATCAATTATAATTCAAAAATAAATTATTAAAAAAATTTAAATATATATTTTTAAATATTTTGTTGAAAATGAAATTGGTTATCGCATTAGACTAGCCTATAAGTGAACTGTAAAATGGGTTAATCCCAAAAACTATTAACAGGAAGACAAGTTTTAAAGATATTTAGTATTAAATGAAGCAGGTAGAAGTATTATCTAGAGTAAGGTTGATATCATGTTGTTCCATTCTAAGTATCTAAAGTAAGGTTAATATCATGTTGTTCCATTTTAAGTATCTAAAGTAAGGTTGATATCATGTTGTTCCATTCTAAGTATCTAAAGTAAGGTTGATATCATGTTGTTCCATTCTAAGTATCTAAAGTAAGGTTGATATCATGTTGTTCCTTTCTAAGTATCTAGAGTAAGGTTGATATCATGTTGTTCCATTCTAAGTATCTAAAGTAAGGTTGATATCATGTTGTTCCATTCTAAGTATCTAAAGTAAGGTTGATATCATGTTGTTCCATTCTAAGTATCTGAGGTAAGGTTGATATCATGTTGTTCCATTCTAAGTATCTAGAGTAAGGTTGATATCATGTTGTTCCATTCTAAAATTAATAATGATTATATTAGGTTAATCATTGTTATTTTTAACAATAATTATCCTAATACAGTACACTAGGATCCTAATTAGGATCATATGAAGATTGGGATACTAATTAGGATCATGCTGATAATATTTTAGTGTCTAACTAAATTTATTTATATTAAAAAATTGATATTATCATGTTGATGATATTTTAGTGATCTTGATTTCTCTTTAGATTAACAAAATGATAAAAAAAGCGTGGCCATATATCATAAAGTAAAATTGTTAAAACCTTAATTTAAATTATTTAACCTTTTCAATAACTGTTTGATCATTATTAAGTTTTTTCATTTCTAAAATAAACACTTACTATTTATATTTATATATATTATAATAGTACTATATATAATATATAGAAAGAAGTTAAAAAAATGATAACATCCTATTATTTTGTTGTTTTTGTGTATTTTATTGTTACTCCAAATGTGTCATAAAGTAATAAATAAAGTTGTTCAATTTTTTTTTTAACTCTAGCTCATTGTCTCTCTAAATTCTGTATTCTAAACTTCATAAAGTATAGTATAACATTTTAAAAAACTTTATGAAGTATAACATTTTAAAAAACATAGAAATAAATACTCAGTTTAGATAAACATGAAAAAAGATTATGAAAGTTTATTATTTATTGATAATAGACTTCTTATATTTTGTCACGAGGGGTAATTTTATTTCGTTTGTGTTTGTTTAATGGATGCAATAAGCTCATGTGAAAAGAAGCACTAATAATATTAAGTTTGCTGTTATTATTTAGATTATTGAAGATAATATTACAAACTAAATATCAAATTACCTCATTATTAAATTATCATTTTATTATTTATAAAAACTTTTGATAAATAAATTAATAAATAAGTATAATGCTTACATTTTTGTGTAAATTTATTGTTGCGCTATATTTAGAAAAGCAAATATCTGTATTATTATTTAATGTATATAATTATTTTATATAATTAATTCAATTTATTTATAATTATTATAATTTATTATATATAATTATTAAAATGTTATATTTATCTTACTTTTATTTTAAACACTATGTTTACATTTTGTGAGGCTCTGTTATGACTATTGTAATGACCTTTTACCAGAATGGTTGCAGAACTATCTTGGACAATGTTTGGAATGAAACTAGTTCGATACTGCTTATACATGTGGTTACCAATGTACTTGAATCAAAATGTATGTGGTTACAAATGTACTTTAATATTTTTATTTATTTAGAGTGCCAATTTTTATTTTTAAATTGAAAAAACTTTTTTTTTCAATTTAAAAATAAAAATTGGTAGATAAAATAAAATTTAATAAAAAGAATTGGTAAAAAAAATAAAAATTTATATACTTTACAAATTATCAGAAAACTTAAATTAATAAAACAATCAAAAAAAAAAAATTTTGTATTGAATTTTTGTTGAAAACAAAAGTTAGTTTGCTAAAAAATGCCTCTGCATGGAGAAATAAGTTAAGCGTGGTGCTTCTAGAAATGTGGTGAATATGAACTTCAATTCTCTTGATTGTGAGTCTAGTGTTCTACCATTTGTCACATTACCGCAATACATGTAATACATACACACATTCATACATACAATGTATGAATGTGTGTATGTATGCATATAAAGTATATTTATATTACGTTGCATTATATAAGTTCAATTTTTTTATTAAAAAAGGTTTAAAAATAAACAAATAGTAAAATTATATTTAAATGAAGTTCTGATATTTGTTAGTGCTTTAAGTTATTTCCTATAAAAGATTTTTTTAGTTATTCTATTTTAAAAATAGATGTCAATTTTTTTTTTAGTTAAAATACAGCGTATCAATGGCTGGTATGTTAAGTACTGCTTATGATATCGGAGGTGTTGCTGGTTCAGCACTGATTGGTGTTTTTATTGACAGGTTATTTTTAATAGTACTTGTTAATTTGTAATATTTACATTTTTGTTTATAATTACATAATATTTTAATTTTTGTTGGGTACAACATTAATTTTGTTATATCCAACATCAGTAAAAAAAGGAGGAGTTATATAAAAATCTTAAAAATAATATTTGTTTTATAAAAACCATATTTAAAAATTATTAAAAACTTGTTAAATTTTTTTTTTTTAACCTTTAGATTAAAAAAAACAAACATTTTTCATGCAATAAAATCGAAATCAGTTATAAATTTTTTTTATAAATATTTTTTCTTTTATAATTTATAAATTATAGAGGTAAAAATATTTGAATTAAGAGCCCATTTTTTTGTGGTTATAAAAATTTAATAATTTCTAGCCCATTTTTGGGCCAGAAAGTAAAAAAAAGCATATAAAGTTTAAACCGATTATTATTTTTTTATTTTAGAAATTAGTAATTTTAAAACGCAATTAAGCAGCAAATTTGGAACAATTGCTTTTGATCAAGCACTTGTAATGTCATATTTTTCATACAGGCATAAATGAAGCTAGTGAGTATAATGAAATAACAATTAGGTGTTTCATTTCCACTGTCAATTAAAGTGATACCACTTTAATAAATGGTATCAAAGTGGTTATGGTATCAAAGGGATTATGGTATCAAAGCGGTTGTGGTATTGAAGTGGTTTTGGTATTGAAGTGGTTTTGGTATTGAAGTGATTATGGTATCAAAGTGGTTATAGTAACTATGAAATACTAATTCAACTAGTTAAAAGCCTTTGAATAGGAAATAATGTTTTATAATCAACGATACAAAATCAGATTGGTTAAAGGTGCTGAATGGTGTTTCAAAAAGTTCAGTACTTGGATCATTGTTCTCTATTATATATCAATGGTCAAACCTTCAAAGTAGAATAATATATCCAAACTTAATCCAGTTGATAATAAAATTACTGTTTTAAATAACAGTTAAACTCCTAATTATTGCAGGATGATAAATATTATAAGTCATTTCAGACTCACAATTATTTCAGGATGATGTTAATATATTAACTGAATTGTCTATCAAATAGATGATAATTTTTAAAACTTTGGATAATGTAAATCATGTATTTCGAAAAGTGTATTAATAGTTATAAATATTTTATGACATACAAAAAAAAATGTTATGACATATAAAACTCAAAATCTATAGAATTACATGTTGGTATAATGATATCAAAATGAAATGGGCCGTGAAATGTAACCCTTCACATAGACCTTATAATATCTTAAGAGTTTTAAAAAGTACCACTTTTAGGTACCACTGTTTTTTACCACTTTTTTCTTTTGTCTTTTGTACCACTGTTTAGGTATATACGTCATGTGTTTTTCACAAATTTTGTTCAAAAAAGTTATGAACGTTTTACTATTTTTAAGTATTTTGAAATTAAAAAATAAAATTGTTTTGATATCTTTAATGATAGCCAATGACATAATTATTTACATTTATCATTTTAGAAAATATTTTAAATTTTAGAAACTCATTTTTTTCTGCCAAAATGCAACATACATTTTAATTAATTTACACTGAGTTTTTTTTCTCATATAAAAAATTAATTAAGCAAATTTGATTTTAAAAATGCCAAGCAAAGCTTTTTCTCATAATGAAAATTTGGCTAAAGTGTGTTTGTTCAGTTTCCAAAAAGGTTCAAGCATGTCCCAATGCAATACTGATTTCACAATCCCAAGAATTATTATTATTATTTTTTTTTATAAATCTGTATTTAAAATTGAATAGCATTACAAGTAACGAATTGTACAATTGTGTCTGTCCTTTAATGTTTAATAGTTTTCTGAGAATGCAGGTTAAGAAACATATCAATTATGCATTGAAAAGGCAGTAGAGCTCCTAATATTGCTTGGGAGGTTAAGGTCACTGACGCCATCACGAAGGATACGGAGATATTTTTAAATAAAAGATTTTTGGTAAGTAGTAGTTTTTGGGGTGTTAAGAACATACAGGGTTTCTGCTGTTGGTGTGAGTTAATTTAGTGGTTATACATCAATTCCAATAATGTGTAGGGCATTTTTATGAAAGAATTAAGAAATATTTCAAAGAAGAAGAAAGAATTAAGAAATATTTCATTTAGAATTATGATCTAAAAGACCATCTAATGCTGACCATCTAATTTTTTAAAGGTTATTACAATACCAACTAGAACCCATTGTGTCAGAACTATTTGTGAAATAGCAGGTTTTTTATCATCTAGGGATCCTATCAAAATATGCCAACATTGTTGGCAACCGGTAGACCAAAGAATGTTTTATGGATTTTGTTATATCCAACATCAGTAAAAAAGACTTGTACTGTTGAAAATGCAAGAGAAAATCTTAGTACAGCTCTAATTCAGGTTCTTTGTGCAGCAGAGATTGTTGCATTTCACTTTATAAAACAAAAAGTTGAAACTGCATGTGATACATATACTATCAAATTAACAACCAGACGGAAAGATTTAACTGTTACAATGAATATCAAATCTCAAAATCGCTCAAAAGCTCAGTTTCCTTCTCGAAATTCAGTGTCATCTGATGTAATAAGTAGGCTTCTATCTACACTAAACGGTTTTCTAAAGGTTCGGTTCTCTAAAGCAAACTTATTAAGCAGCAACATTTTTCAGGATTTGGATAGAATCTTGTCTTACAGGAAAACATGATGAGTATGATAAACATTTGAAATCCTTTTATAGCCTAACAAATATGCTTTTGATGAACCAATTGTTGAAAACCAAGGAAAGCTCAGCTTGCAATAGTGTTCTGCCATAACATTTCTGGATTAATTGATCATTTCTTTGAGAAATATGAACTTCTTCTAAAATGAGTATACAATCAAAACAGGAATTGATGGGAGTGGAGACTTTTTAAAATTCTTCATGAAAATAATTATGTGCCAAAATAATCAAGAAAATTTTTTTTACTATTCTAAAGGGGCTTGTTCTCAATCTTTTCAAGATTCTGGTGTGAAGAAAACTCATTTTTTGCTATTGTTTAATCTTTAAATGAATCTTCTTTAAATAGTTCTAAAAAAAATTTTTGGTTACGCTTGCTCTTGAAAAATTTCTTTCACAGCAGCTGTAGACATGGCATTGACTAATGCATGTCTCGGATAAGGCTCTACTTCATTTATGTCCATGGTGTGAAACTTCATAGAATGATTTTAGAAAGTCAGGTTTGACTGGACAGTTATGAGATGATTAGATCAAATGCCCAAAACTATCATGTAGCTCTTAAAGTTCATTCGCATAAAAAAAAAAAGTTCTCAACAGCTCAATATAAATGTTGCATGAACCTCCCTTTGATTTCCTGCTTGTCATAGAATTGTGCGTGGTTCTTGGAAATACCAACTTCCTTTTTGGTCATCTTTTTGAACATTTTTTGAATCAAACAGCGTCTTGTTTTTTTAAAGCTACTGACTGTTCAAATAAATTGGATTTCCAGACGCCTCCAATGCATGGAGGGGAATTTAATGGCAATCAATGTCAATAACTCTTGAATAAAATTATTTTGCTTGAATCATTACAAGCATGTGTTAAAATTGGATTACAAGAAATAGGTGCTGCTTTTAGAGCTTTCAAAAAAGTTGTAAAATCATACTTTGGTAATGATCTTAATCGCAAGTACCAACTCTTTATTTAAAATTGCATACAGAGATCTTGGAATTTCAATCACTCCAAAAGTGTTTTTCTTAAAAATCAGGTCAAAAACCATGATATTTATCAGCAAAATAAACCTTCAAATGCTTAGAAGAATTTTATTCAAAAGAATTTGGCTTTTATAGTGAATCGGCATCAGAATCCATTCATTCCGATTTCATTAGGCTATGGAGATCTGGTGCCTACAAAAGAGATGTTAATCATCTGGAATACAGCACAAAACTCAAATATTTTTATACTTTTTGATGAAGCAAATGTTGAAAATTGAATATTTTTCAAAACATATATAAAGAGAAGAAGTAGCTACTGAAAGTAATTTAACTGAAGAACATTTTTTTGAGAATCTTTTTTTTGTTTTGTTTTATTTTTTTGTTTTGTTTTGTTTTGTTTTTTTGTTTTGTTTTTTAGTTTAAAACTGCTACAATACATCACTACATTTGTAAAGAATGAGATAATTTCAGCTGGATTTATGTTTATTTTATGAAAGATATAAATTTTAATTATCTTATTATTATGGTTTTTTCGAGATTTTGTTATAAATAGTAAAACGGTCATAACTTTTGGACTTCCTAGAATAATTTTAAAAATCTGTGACCTATATAATTCTGGTACAAAAATTTTCTCTTAAAACTTTTTTTTAACACTAAAGATATTAAAAAGCCTGTGTATGTTGTAATAAAAAAAATATACAAAAATATTATAAAATGTACAACAACAAGCAGCAACAGCAAGCAATAACAACAGGCAACAACAGCAGACAACAACAACAAGTAACAACAGCAAGCAATAACAACAAACAGCAACAGCAAGCAATAACAACAAGCAGCAACAGCAAGCAACAACAACAAGCAACAACAACAAGCAATAACAACAAGCAACAACAGCAAGCAACAACAACAAGCAGCAACAACAAGCAATAACAACAAGCAGCAACAGCAAGCAATAACAACAAGCAACAACAACAAGCAACAACAACATGCAACAACAACATGCAACAACAACAAGCAACAACAGCAAGCAATAACAACAAGCAGCAACAGCAAGCAACAACAACAAGCAGCAACAGCAAGCAACAACAACAAGCAACAACAACAAGCAACAACAACAAGCAATAACAGCAAGCAACAACAACAAGCAATAACAACAAGCAACAACAACAAGCAACAACAACAAGCAACAACAGCAAGCAATAACAACAAGCAGCAACAGCAAGCAACAACAACAAGCAACAACAACAAGCAACAACAACAAGCAACAACAACAAGCAACAACAGCAAGCAATAACTACAAGCAGCAACAGCTAGCAACAACAACAAGCAACAACAACAAGCAACAACAACAAGCAACAACAACAAGCAACAACAACAAGCAACAACAACAAGCAACAACAGCAAGCAATAACAACAAGCAACAACAACAAGCAATAACAACAAGCAACAACAACAAGCAACAACAACAAGCAACAACAGCAAGCAATAACAACAAGCAACAACAACAAGCAACAACAGCAAGCAACAACAACAAGCAACAACAGCAAGCAATAACAACAAGTAACAACAGCAAGCAATAACAACAAGTAACAACAACAAGCATTAACAACAAGCAACAACAACAAGCAATAACAACAAGCAACAACAGCAAGCAACAACAACAAGCAACAACAACAAGCAACAACAACAAGTAACAACAACAAGTATCAACAACAAGTAACAACAACAAGCAATAACAACAAGTAACAACAACAAGAAACAACAACAAGCAACAACAACAAGCAACAACAATAAGCATCAACAACAAGCAACAACAACAAGCAATAACAACAAGTAACAACAACAAGAAACAACAACAAGCAACAACAACAAGCAACAACAATAAGCAACAACAACAAGCAACAACAACAAGCAACAACAACAAGCAACAACAGCAAGCAACAACAACAAGCAACAACAACAAGCAACAACAACAAGCAACTAAATTGGTTCAAGAGTTAAAGCGTATGAAACGATGAAAAAACTTCATCTAACTTAACCTTCATCTAACTTAACCTTCATCTAACTTACCTTCATCTAACTTAACGTTCATCTAACTTAACCTTCATCTAACTTAACCTTCATCTAACTTAACCTTCATCTAACTTAACATTCATCTAACTTAACGTTCATCTAACTTAACCTTCATCTAACTTAACGTTCATCTAACTTAACCTTCATCTAACTTATCTTCATCTAACTTAACGTTCATCTAACTTAACCTTCATCTAACTTAACGTTCATCTAACTTAACGTTCATCTAACTTAACGTTCATCTAACTTAACCTTCATCTAACTTAACCTTCATCTAACTTAACCTTCATCTAACTTAACCTTAAAAACCAGAAGAATATAATGTAAAGTAAAAAAACATCTATAAAGTACGCAGTAAAATCACAGATTTAGGACTTCCTTTCCCCTCCCTCACCCCCTTATAAGCACCTATGTGCTTTTATCGATTCCCCCATCCTCTCTAACTCTTCTTTGCGTAGGTACGCATTATAACATTAAAAACAAAAAAACTTTTAGTTAATTCGACATTTCGCTGTTACATAACGTAATATTGATTTTTTTATATCGTGAAATTCAATGCTTTTGTTAAAAAAATCAAGTTTTAGGAGAAATAGAGAACGAGAGATGTGGGTATGTGTGTGTTAAGACGAACGCGGTCAAACCGCGTATGTCTCAACACACACATACACCCTCCTCCTATACCTCGACTCGCAGTCTCTAACACACACACACACCTTCCTCCTATACCTGCGTACATTGAAAACCCCTTATTCAATATTTAATGTTTTTTATACATTAGATAAAAAGCTCTTGATATCAAAAACAGCTGCAAGCATATGTCATAAAGCAATATAGTTAAACAAAATTAGAGTTGTTTAGTTTTAATAGAACTCTATTCGTAGTACAAATAGAGCAGGAGGCTAATTAAGCGTGAATTGGCATAAGTGCGAAGCGTTGCAAAAACTGGAATGAGTGCGAACTGGCATAAGAGCGAAATAACAATTTGCACTTATGCAAATATATGCAATTTTATTCGGCGCACTTATGCCGATTTGCACTTATGCCAGTTTATGTAACTGCTTCGTACTTATGCCGATTCGCACTTATGCCAATGTTTGTAAATTTATTCGGAGCTCTTATGCTAATTCGCACTTTTTTCACCAGTTTTAACTGCTTCGTACTTATGCCAGCTCGCGCCTATGACACTTTGTACTTATGCCAATGTTTTCTAATTCTTTTGGCGCACCTATACCAGTTTGCATTTGTGCCAGTTTTTGTAACTGTTTCGCACTTATGGCAATTCGCACTTATGCCAGTTCGCGCTTATGAAATTTGCGCTTATTCAGTCGTCTCAAATAGAGTTCTACTGTTGGAATAAATGCCTACACCAGAAAAATTATTTTTGCCTCTGTAAAAATTTTTTAGAGCCAACTTAAACTATATATGATTTAACGAAACTCCAATCAACTTGGGCTTGAACTTGAACAAATATGAACTTGGGCTTCAATCAACTTGGGCTTGAACTTGAACAAATATGAACTTGGGCTTGGGCAAACATAGCATTGAATCTCAAGGAATAAATAATTGATTACTAATAATTATGATATGAACGTTTTAGGCTTGAATTGCAATCTTTTAGGTAAGAATTAAATCTCTCTATTTACACCCCTGGGTAAAAATGAAACTTGTTAAAACTTAAGGAATAATAAAAAAATTAAAAACTGTAACATAAAATATATAATATAATTTTTTTTAATGTTAATAAAGTAATCAAAAATTATCTGCATAAATAATTTTTGCAATAACGCAGAAGAACGTCTAATAAACTATATTTTTTTAGAGTGATGGGAGGTCGCACGTATTGGGGAGTTGTCTTAGCCCTTGTCAGCAGTGCTATATCCCTATTAGCATTTCAGATTACCAGCTCGTGGGGTTTACTATTTAATTTTGTACTACTCTTCTTAGTCGGGGCATTTAGTTGTGGCCCGGATTCGACAGTTTCTGGAACATTAGCCTGCGAAGCAGGTGAAAGAGAAAACGCACAGTCAGCAGTTTCTGGAATAATCAATGGTGAGACAGTTATATATATATATATATATATATATATATATATATATATATATATATATATATATATATATATATATATATATTATATATATATATATATATATATATATATATATATATATATATATATATATATATATATATATATATATATATATATATATATATATATATATATATATATATATATATATATATATATATATATATATATATATATATATATATAGAATCGTAATATTGTATTAATTCATATTTCTCTTATTGCAGGATTTGGTAGTCTAGGAACAGTTCTTGAAGGGCCTATTGTAGCTTTAATAGCGACAAGTTTTGGTTGGAATGGAACATTTTATGCCATGATTCTACTTACTTTAGTTGGTGTAATTGCTATGGCAAAAGCTGCCATTATGAACGACAAAGTTAGACAAAACACTACGAATCTGATATAGGTATCACATTTTGACGTATCAACGATTGTGTTAAATAAAGCCGCAAGATGAGAGTAATAAATACCAACATTCTATACTTTTCTAATGTAAGGTTAAGGTGGTCTTTGACTTGAACAGAACAATCACTCCAATCTTAAATGTAATCATTGAAAATCTTTAATACTATTTTCTTGCGGTCCGGCACATGTGATTTAGTTTTATTCATGCTAAATTAGTATTCATTGTAAATTATAGTATATAATATGGTAATATGTTAAGAATCGTTAAAGATCATTATAATTTTATAAGATGGTTTGAAATATTATTAAGTTATTATATTATTAAACTTTTTTATTATACATCTTAATATTAAAATTAGTGCTTATAAAATAAGCGCCATTGACGCGATTTTTACGATCGGGGGTGTAATTTAAAAGTTTGCGTTTTTATATTAATTCTAAATATACAAAAATTTCATAGCAAAAAAGTATTTAGGAAAGAAAGGTTGAGATGTAGAATCAAAAAATCAAATATTTTTAAAACCACGAATTTATAAATATTTGGGGTATGTTAAAAGAATATAAAAAAATATAAATATAAAAAAGTGAAAAAATAAGCAAAGTTTTAGATAATTCAATAACAAAGCTATCACGTAATAAACAAAGTAATCAAATAGCTACTTGTTTGTTTTTTTCAGGTAGCGTTTTTTAAATATTTTTACCTCTTTGTTAGTAAGAAATACTTTTTAGCCTCACCGTCGTGAGGCTAAAAAGTATTGCTTTTTTAGCCTCAAGTCGTGCTAAAAATATTTTAAGGAATGATTTCTTTACTCGTTTATAATAAAATTTAATATATTTTTTTGCAATTGATGATGGAATGGCAGGCCAAATCCCAGAACAAGTATATGTTTGGCATTATTCAACAAATTGAATTTCACAATAGTAATAAAGCAACAGTTTTTATGAAAGTTGTTGTATTTATCCCAATTCCTTAGATCATTGAAATACGAAAGATAATTTTCTATCTTCAAATCTGGTAGATATTAACGACATTAATCTGAAATCACGACTCGCATTGATAAAGACATATAAAGTTACACAATGGTATGTTAAAGATGAGGGAATGAAACAAAAGCAACAATAAAACTCTTAACCAATCTTGGTTGCCATCCAAAAATATTCAAGATGTTAGCAAACTCAGGTTTACATCTTTAAAAAACACTTTTTTGTGTTTAGTAAAGAGTATTCGCTGGTTCGTGCATTTTAAAGTGCGTAAACCTGAACAAACTTTAAAAGCAAATCTTTACTGCAGAGAAGTGTTGTTATCGACTGCCACTAAATCGACTAAAAGTCGACTATGAAAAATCTAATAGTCGATTTAATTGACTTAAGATTTTCTCTAATCGATTTAAAGTCGATTTAGTCGGGTCCTAAAATTCTTATCTTTATCTCTTCATTTGATTTTTTTTTTAACTTTGTCAACATTTAATTTTACTATGATGCTGACCAATTAGTGAAGATATATCCTTTTAAGTAGATTATTTTATAAAGATAAAATATTTTTAAAGATTAAGCCATGCGTAAGATCATTCATAGCTGGGTTTTTAATTCAACCAAAATATCTGAATATTGAACCTAATTTGCTGTTACACAAACTCAGCTCTAAGCTTATTGTATGCTGTGCCACTACATTATTGTTTATTTTTTCTTGTTATGCTGACTCATAATATAACGTTAATTCTTTAAAAAAATATTTAATAATGTGTCATCAGTTAACGATGTCGAAAAGATACAAAGTTTTATAAATCTGAAATCCACAAAAAAGTTTGGGCCTACCAGCCTCCACCTTGATAACCGGGGATGAAGATTTGATTGGATGTTCACGCCTCCTTCCTAACTGATGTCGTAAAACTTGCTCCCAGGTGGGGTTTAAACCACGGATCCTTTGTTTCTGAGGCAAGTGCGCTACGGCTGATCACTATGTAAATAATAAAAAGCAATGTAACTTTTAATAAAAACAATAGTAATAACTTTTAATAAAAAATAGTTAAAAAACAAAACAAAATTCAAAACAAATATTTTTTAATTTAAGATTCGAACCCCAGCCACCGTGCTGGCACTCCTAGGATGTTTCCGTAAGTTACATACGACATGGAATTTCTAGTAATTTGTACAGCTAAAACTTTAAAAATAAACCAAATATATTTGCTGCCGTTACTTTAAATGCACCAATCAGACTAAAGCAACGGTACCGTTGCGCTAGCCACAACGTTATTTTTACTTTATTTTTGCGTTTTTTTGTTAATTGTTTTTTATTTACTTTGAATCACTGAAGTGTGTCTGCAGATAATACTGGTGTTTTAACTTGTTTTTAATATTGGTCAGCTTTACACAATGGTTTGATCTAAAGAACGCCAACGCAACCAAAAACCTTTAATCGATGTATTTGCACTCCACTGCGACTACCCCTATATTAGTTGATGTATGTATGTGTTCTCACTGCGCTACCTCTATATCAGTGTTTTTTTTTAATTTTAATTTCATTTAGGTCCCCCAAGAAGTCCTTACAGTCTTATCACAGAGTCGCCACAAAAATTACGCCTATTAAATTTTTTGCTTTAATTGTTTTGATAAATGATACAGAGAGAATCTTTTTTTTAAAGTTCTTTCTTTTTTAATTCAATAAGTCAATTAATTCAATCAAATTCTTTTAATTGATTGATACATATAATAATAATTCCCAATGGACATTTTAAACGATTGGTTTTACTCCCTTTAGAAATTAATAACGATTAGAATAAGTCTAATAATAATAATGATAGGTACTCATGCAAATCCTTTATGAAATTATTTCTGCATGAAGAAAATCTGAACACACTTAAAAGTCTTCTTTGACTTAGTTGTAATAGCTATTTTATTCTTGTTTACGGCAGAAATAAAATGTCGAATCGAAACATTCATAAAAGTAAAGTCTGCAATTATTTTTTGAAAAACAATGGCTCTACACTAACAACGTGTAAATATAAAAGATACTTTAACAAACGAATTTTGCAACAAAGAGCTAAAATACAATAAAAATGCAAGCTCAATGGCAAATCATTTGTATAGCAACCATCGGATTAGTATTAAAGAGTCTTAACTTCCAAGTACAACAACTGATCGTGTATCTATCTAAGTTGCACTTGCAAACTCTCACTCATATTGTTCAAGTTCGCAGAAATATAGAGATTTAGAGGAATCTATGTGTAAATTTGTTCTTCAAACAGGTCAACCGCTGTCAATTGTTAATAATAAGTATTTTATTAAAATGCTAGCTTCGTTTGATAACAAGTACAAATTGCCGACATTTAAAGTAAAAGTAATGCATCTTTTAAACCCAGCTGAATTTTGCCATAGATGAATGGACATCACAAGTCTCGCATTCATACACCGGCGCCACAGTACATTTTGTTGATCAAAATTTTTGTTTTAAATCGATTCGGATTGCATTAAAGCATAGCCCAAAAGCCCATACTAGCCTATATTTAAAGGAGCAAATTGAGTTAATTCTAAATGAATTGAAAATAAGTGATAAAACACTTTCAACGAGTAGTGACACTGCTGCGAATATCAAACATTGTCTAGAAGATCTATTTAATAAATAGTACATACCTTTTTTTTTTTTATATTTAATTTAGTTGTTAAAGATGTTCTTGTAAAAGAGAACTAGCTATCAACCGACAAAAATCATTGCGTTTTCATAATTTTAAAGAAATGTAGGAAACTCGTTGGCTTATTCAAACATAGTAATAAGCTTTTTGCTCAACTTGTAAACTGTTTTGAGTTAAATAATATGAAAATTGACAATCAAGAAGATAAATGTTCAATAAACAAATTAAAACAAGACATTGCTACTCAGGGGAATTCGATCTTTTTAATGTTGTAGTCAGTTTTTAAACTTAGCGAATCGATCAAAGACGTTATTATTAAGTCAGAGAACAAAGATAATGAGGATTTGTTATTAAAAGTTGGGAACTGGAAATCATTGGCGAGCTAGTTAATCTGTTTGACCTGATACATAATTTTACAAAAAATTTTCAAATTCAAAGATAATTTTAATCGAAGGTGTGAGCATTTTCTTAAAATTGAAAAGTTGTATGAAGCTACATATTTAGATCCACGGTTTCGTAGTTTTAAATTTATATCGAACAAAACAGCGAAAATTTCTTGTATCAAAAAAGCTTATTCTTTAGTTGTTCAATTGAGCCATGAATTTTGACATTCAAAGAGAGTTTGTTACACCTAAACCACTCATTTATTTTATGTAATTCTTTGTTAACTATATTAAAAAGTGTCCTAATGTCTCTATGCGAATAAAACAAATTGGAGTCATCCGCAAACAAGATTAAATTTAATAAGTTTGATGTTGAATATAAATCATTTATATAGAGTAAAAATAATAATGGTGCAAAGATCGAGCCTTGGGGAACCCCGCAAGTTATGGCGCTATTTGTTGTTTTTGTTGTTTCATGCTGAATATATTGCTTTCGGTTTGATAAATAATCTTTAAACCAAAGTAAGTTATTATTTTTTACTCCATACACTTCGAGTTTTTTTAGAAGAATGGCCGCCAAAATATATGGCCGCCAAATATTTTTTCGGCTTCAATTTCGATATTAGAGAAGCGCTATCCAGTTATAATATAGATAAGTGGGACAGGTCCATTACTCTAAATTTATATTTAAGTAAAGTTGATCAATCCAATAAAAGCATTTGTTCTTTTTCATTCAACCCGCCTACTAAATATTGCTAAAGAAATCATTATATGTTTGTGAAAAATTCAAATTTATAGTCAAATATATTCGGAGATTATTTTTCCGTTTAGTCGCTGTTAATTTACACTACTTTATATTAATCTATAGGAGTAGAAAAAAGTATATATGTACACTATACTTCTCCCATACCTATTTAAAGACGGATTTCCACTTACATGAAATTTTCCGCAAAACGGAATGGAAAAAAATCATCCCAATCATGTAACAAAAAAATTATAATACGCAATTTCTATGTAACATGATCGGATTAGTTTTCTTTTCCGTTTCGTTTCGCGATAAATTTTCATGAAAATTTGTTGCGTAAAATTGGGGGTGAGTCAATAAGACTTTTCTGCTTTTTTTTTTTATTGATTTTGATTTATTGCTAGGAGAAGGTTTATGTTAATAGCTTTTCGA